GCGCCATAGAGGGCCGGCCCTCCCCCTTCCTCCACTCCTTTATATAAGGGGGAGGGGGCACCCCATAGACACACAAGTTGATCATTGATCTCTTAGCCGTGTGCGGTGCCCCCTTCCACCATAATCCACCTCGGTCATATCGTCGTAGTGCTTAGGCGAAGCCCTGCACCGGTAGGTTCATCATCACCGTCATCACACCGTCATGCTAACAAAGCTCTCCCTCGACACTCTGCTAGATAGTGAGTTCGTGGGACGTCACCGAGCCAAACGTGTGCAGATCGCGGAGGTGTCGTACTTTCGGTGCCAGGATCGGTCGATCGTGAAGACGTACGACTACATCAACCACGTTGTCATGACACTTCCGCTTACGGTCTACGAGGGTACGTAGACAACACTCTCCCCTCTCGTTGCTATGCATCACCATGATCTTGCGTGTGCGTAGGAAAATTTTCAAAATTACTACGTTCCCCAACAGTGAGATCCCATATAGGGGCCTTTTCTGGCATCCTGTTGGAGGGGGGTTTGATCACAGAGGGCTTCTACATCAACACAATTGCCTCTCCGATGAAGCGTGCGTAGTTTACCTCAGACCTACGGGTCCATAGCCAGTAGCTAGATGGCTTCTTCTCTCTCTTTGATTCTAAATACCATGTTCTCCTCGATGTTCTTGGAGATCTATTCGATGTAATACCTTTTTGCGGTGTGTTTGCCGAGATCCGATGAATTGTGGATTTATGATCAGCTTATCTATGAATATTATTTTAATCTTCTCTTAATTATTATATGCATGATTTGATATCTTTGCAAGTCTCTTCGAACTATCGATTTGGTTTGGCCAACTACATTGGTTTTTCTTGCAATGGGAGAAGTGCTTAGCTTTGGGTTCAATCTTGCGGTGCATGGTCCCAGTGACAGAAGGGGAACCGACACACATTGTATTGTTGCCATTGAGGATAACAAGATGGGGTTTCATCATATTGCTTGAGTTTATCCTGCTACATCATGTCATCTTACTTAAAGCGTTACTCTATTCTTATGAACTTAATACTCTATATGCAGGCAGGAGTCGGTCGATGTGTGGAGTAATAGTAGTAGTGCAGGCAGGAGTCGGTCTACTTGATACGGATGTGATGACTATATTCATGATCATTGTCTTAGATATCGTCATAACTTTGCGCTTTTCTATCAATTGCTCGGCAGTAATTTGTTCACCCACCGTAATATTTTCTATCTTGAGAGAAGCCTCTAGTGAAACCTATGGCCCCAGGGTCTATTTTCCATCATATAACTTTCCGATCTACACTTTTAGTTTCCGATTTACTTCCTTTGCAATCTTTTACTTTCCGATCTATTAAACCAAAAATATGAAAAATATGTACTTTACCGTTTATCTATCTCTTTCAGATCTCACTTTTGCAAATAACCGTGAAGGGATAGACAACCCCTTTGTCGCATTGGGTGCAAGTTGTTGATTGTTTGTGCAGGTATTCGGCGACTTGTGCATTGTCTCTTACTGGATTGATACCTTGGTTCTCAAACTGAGGGAAACATTTACTCTACTTTGCTGCATCACCCTTTCCTCTTCAAGGGAAAAAACAACGCACTCAAGAGGTAGCAGTGATAACCGTAGTTTGAGGAGTTCATGTATTCACTAAGTGCTAATGCTTTGGTCCGGTACTTTATTAAAAGTAGGTCTTAATATCCCTTAGTTTCCATTAGGACCCCGCTGCCATGGGACGGTAGTACAAAAGATGTCATGCAAGTTCTTTTCCATAAGCATGTATGACTATATTCGAAATACATGCCTACATTATATTGATGAATTGGAGCTAGTTCTGTGTCACCCTAGGTTATAACTGTTGCATGATGAATGCCATCCGACATAATTATCCATCATTGATCCATTGCCTACGATAGAGTGGAATGGTCTTTTCTAAAAGTTATTTTGTTGAAGCTGGGTTTTAAAGAGAATTGGGTGAATTTGATTATGTAATGTGTGTTCTCTGTGGAGTATAGGATTCGCTTTCATGACGAAGAGACTGACAACTTCAAACCCACTAGAGGCCTAAGACAGGGGGGTCTCTCTCTCCCTATTTGTTCTTGCTATGTATGAAGGGTTTGACCGCTCTCTTAGCCAAGGCGGAGGAGACAGGTAATATCGCAGGCATAAAAGTTAGCAGAGAAGCTCCAGCAGTTTCTAACCTACTATTTGCGGATGATTCATGATCCTCATGCGAGCGAATGTTATGAACGTTGAGGCTTTGAAAGAAATTCTACATTCTTATTGTGTCGCCTCGGGATAAAGGGTGAGTGTTGAAAAATCCAGCATATTGTTTAGCCCAAATACACAAGTGGAAGATAGAGTGCAAATTTGTACTATCTTGAATATTATGATCGAGGCACTAAATAATAAATATTTGGGGCTACCTGCTAATGTGGGGATGGACAAAAGCGTCTGCTTTCAGTTTCTAATAGATCGGACTATTATGAAGATTAGTGGATGGAAGGAAAAGTTGATATCTGCCGGGGGAAAGGAAATTTTGCTTAAATCTGTTGTTCAAGCTATTTCAACATATGTCATGTCCATCTTTAAAATTCCTATTTTTTGCAAAGGAATCATTGACGCGATGTCGCATTTCTGGTGGGGTGATGTGAACAATCAGAAGAAATGCACTGGATGGCATGGTGGAAGATATGTGTTCCAAAAGACCAAGGAAGTATAGGGTTCAGGGATATACACTGTTTTAATCTGGCCCTGTTAGCTAAACAAGCCTGGCATCTCTTGGATAATCCTGAATCGTTATGTGCCACAATATTAAGAGCCAAATATTTCTCGAAGGGTGATTTGATGAATGCAATTTTAAAAAAGGGTTCCTCTTTTACCTGGCAAGGTATTATGGAGGAAGCGAAATCTCTCAGGAATGGTTATATATGGAGGGTTGGTATGAAGAAAATATTGATATATGGAGAGATGCATGAATCCCAAATTGTGTGAATAGGAGAATCATTACACCTAGAAGAGGGAATATACTGACGAAAGTTTCAACCCTTATTGATCCAGTGACGAATTTTTGGGATGAGGAGTTGGTGAGACAAACTTTGTGGCCAGTTGATGCTCAAAGAGTCCTGGAAATCCCTCTACCCATGAATAATATGCAGGATTTCATTGCTTGGAGCTACACAAAAAACGGTCTATTCACTGTACGATCAGCTTATTTGGAAGAGTGGTATAAAAAGCATGGGAGGAAATTTTGGAGTGTACAAATGGCATGGGTGGAAGCAAGGCCAACCCTATTTGGGAAAAATATGGAAATTAGCTTGTCCAACAAAAGTCAAATTTGTTGTCTGGCGCACACTTCACGGGACTCTACTGTGTCATGTGACGCTGGCGAATAGACATATAAAAACTTTGTCCATTTGCCCGGCATGTTCGAATGGGCCAGAGGATACTAAACATGTGTTGTTTGTGTGCCAAAAGGCAAAAGAAGTGTGGGAAAAAATTGGGACTGTATGAAGTGATTAAAAAAGCCTGTGGTGTGGACCATGCAGGAGAAGTAGTCATGTAAGTATTACTCCTTATACCTGAACATGAATTGGCTTTATTAGGTTCCCCGAATACACGAGAGCTGATAACAATAACTGCGTGGTACTTATGGTGGAATAGATGGAAGCTTGTTCATGAGGGGAAGTTACAAGAGGCGTCACAAACCTCGATGGGGATTCGGGCTATAACATCAAATTATGTAAATGCCTACTCACCAAAGGCAAAGAGGAAGTGTGAAGGATGGAGCAAACCTCCCATGGGTTTTGTTAAATTGAATGTGGATGCTTTTTTTGATCATGATCAATTAAGGGGCGCAACAGGGCTGTTATCAGGGGACGTTCGTTATTAGGAATGATAGAGGAAACTTCATTGTAGGTGGAAACGGTAAGATTGAGTGTTGTGCGGATGCTCTGACAGCGGTAGCATTGGCACTTAGGTTTGGTTTATTTTTGGCTCATAAGACGGGATGCAATTGCGTTATTATTAATTCTGACAACATGGAAGTAATTGATACGATGAAGAACGGAGGTCATTTTGCAGGACTGGCAGCATCAATTTTCGAGGATTGTTTTTTTCTGGCTTGTGATTTCTCTGTTACCAGTTTTGAGCATTGTAGTAGAGAAGTGAACAAAGTAGCCTATGAGCTCGTTAGAGTAGCCAAATGTTTCATGACTAGCGATTGGATTGAGAAGCCCATGAAAAATATTGTATCTCTTCTGACAGACGATGTAATTGATCCTAAAAAAAGACAGACGATATAACTATTAGTATCTCTAATTAATAAATTTGATGTTGTTTTTCAAAAAAACAAAGTCGAGTGCGGATCATAAATGTGGAGTTTACGTCCCCCAACCACGCACGCATGCACCACATGTGACATGTCCATATGCACGTTTCCAAACCAACCAGACTCATCGGTTGATATTCCTACCCAGCCGGGGTCGATCGGCTTTCATCTTGATTGGGCGATCTCAATGCCGCCGCCGCCGCCACGCCGATCCTCCCGCCGTTGGGCGCCGTACAACAAAAACTGGCTGGCGCGGCCCGGCGCCGGCGCCGGCGCGGCCACCGGGTTGACGATATCGACAGCAACGGCATGGATCTCCCCGATGACGTACTCTCGGCGGTCTTCTCCCGGTTGTCAGACACGGCGGACGTCGTCCGGTGCGCTAACACATGCCGGCACTGGGGCCGCGTCGTCGCCAAAGAGGCAATCATCCTCTCCCGCGCACTGCCGTCTCTCCCGCACCTCGCCATCGGCTTCTTCCACACGGAGCGCCCCCTGGTCACAGCACGCACTCGCAATCGCAAGGCCCCGGCGCGGCCGTGCTTCGTCCCGCTCTCCTCTGGCGCCCGGCTCCTCGGCTTCAGTCGGCCCTTGCCCAGCGCGCTGTCAGAGGCCGTCGAGGGTGCCGGCCACGGATTCTTCGACCACTCTCGTCCGGTCGCGTCACGCATGGGCCGCCTCCTCCTCGAGCTCCGGCGTGACGCGCATGCCGACGGGCTCAGCCTCTGCGTCTGCAACCCCATGACGGGGGACATGGCTCTGCTGCCGCCAATACCCAACCCGGGGTTCTACGCGTGCACGGTGCTCTGCGGCGACGACCTCGCTCCACCGCGCCCGTCGCGCACCTTCTTCCGCGTGCTCATCGTCTACAACCGACATAGGCACACCGCGCTGCGCTCCTACTCCTCGGACACCGAGTGCTGGAGCCGGGAGGTTCAGAGACCAGGCCCAAAGATCAAAGGTAACAAGCTACGCAAGTTTGGACAGGGCGTTGTGCTCCGTGGCGTGGCCTACTGGCCGCTGCTCCGCACGGTGCTGGCGGTGCGGCTTGACACGCCGGAGCCCACTGAGGCACCCATGCCGGCCGGCAACCTTTCAGATCAGCCTCAGAACTTGCGTTTACTGGGCGCGACTCCCGACGGGAAGCTGACCTTCATCAGAGCGGGAGTTAGTAGAGATGGACGCTTGCCCAAGAAAAGCAGAGATCGACTCTGTGTGGCGATAAGAGTCCTTGAAACCAGTGGCACCTGGGAGAGAAAAGATGTCTTCGTGTTGCCGCAGCTTGCGTTAACATATCTCCCCACCATCAACGTTCGGTGGTTCGGCGAGAAGAGCGGCATCCTCCTCTTCACGCTTGGCGATGCCAGCAACAATCATGGAGCCTTTGCGCTCAACGTCGAGACGCATGAGATTGAGAAGCTCGCCAGTGGAGTTCGCTGCAGTTCCTGGGAAAACTTGGTCGGGTATGAGATGGATGGGGCCTCTTACCTCGTCTCCATAGCATGTCCCTAACAGATTAAAGTGACCATGTAATGTTTTTTAGACTATCAGGGTTCTATCAGAAAGCCCCGCATGTTTTTTTGGTCAAGTTTTCATAAAAAAAAATCAGCTCTTCCTTTTTAGGAGCTAGATATAAAAAACACTATTAAAAATAAAATATATTTTAGAAAATTCTCCAGTATGTGTACTGAAAAAGTTTAGTGTATATTAAAAATAAGTTCATTGTATATTTAAAAAATGTTCATTTCATATTAAAAATATCAGGCTTGCTAAGTCTCAGTCGACTGAGACTTCGTTAAGTCTCAGTCGATACTATATCCATAAGATCTTACGTTAAGATCCGTGCAAAGTTTTTTTTTCCAGTTTTTCTTTTTCCCTCTTGCATGTTATGTCACTTGACTGAGACTTCGTCATCATATATCTAAAAAATGTTCCATGCATATTAAAAAATATTTATATTAAAAAAGTTCTGTATGTATTTGAAAAATGTTCATTGTATACAAACATAAGTTCAATTTGTATTCAAAAAATGTTCACCATATATTAAAAACATTATATAAATAATAATTTTTCATAAACAAAAAATAGAAGAAAAACCATATCGATTGGGTGATTTGGGCGCCGCCGCGATGTCTATTTGGGGAGGGATTGGGTGAGAGAGCTGCACTAATTAGAATATAGGAAAACGAAAACCCCAGCAACGGCAAGCGGCCGAGAACAAATAGTGAACGTGGGCTGGCCCACCTCGCTCAGCTGCAAGGTCGGCCTCAACGAAGCAGAGACTATTTAACGAGGGGAGTAATGCTACACGTAGAAACGAGTTACAAGGTTTTATAAAGAGAGTTAATTTGATTGGTC